TCAGGAGGACATCTCACGGCTGCGGCGCAAGCTGGAGAAGCAGAGGAAGGTGGAGGTTTATGCAGATGCTGATGAAATCCTCCAGGAGGAGATCAAGGAGTACAAGGCGCGGTTGACCTGCCCCTGCTGTAACACACGCAAGAAGGATGCGGTGCTTACCAAGTGCTTCCACGTTTTCTGCTTCGAGTGTGTGCAGGGCCGCTATGAGGCCCGCCAGAGGAAGTGCCCCAAGTGCAATGTGGCCTTTGGTGCCCATGACTTCCACCGTATCTACATCAGCTGAACCTGTAACTCAGGAACTCTGGAACACCTATGGACCCTAGGTGCTATGCCCCAAGTTCCTCCCCACCCTTTGTTCTGGATCCTGTGGGCCCAATTTCTCCCTCTCCCCATCTAGTTGTTTGAGGTCCCTAGTACATGTTAGTGAGAGTGGGGTCAGCCAAGTTCCACCTTTTTCCCTGTCAGAGCCGAGGCACCTCCTCTGCTGGAAAGAGACGCTATGAGATATCAAATGGGCCCAGAGCATCCAACTAAGCTTCCTGAAAGCTGGCCCCAACTGTTCTGTCTCCACAGGCCTATCCCAGCCCTAAGGGGGAAGTTCCCCAGGCTGTGACTCCATGAAAAGGAGGCTGACTACTTGCTTACACACCCAGAAGTGAGGATCAGGTGGGTCAGGTCTCCAGTCTCTTGCTCTGAGATTAGACCCTGGAGCCCAGAGAGTCTTTCTTCACTCCCTGCCCTCCAAGCATGGGCAAGGTTTCCCTGCCTGTGGAGTTCCCTGGGCTCTTTGGTGTGGCTCTTGGGATAAGCTCTTATATTCTTTATGGGAGGATAAGGAGGGTGAAAGTCAGGGGGCATGGTCCTCTTCCTCTGAGAAGCTCTATGGTTGCTGCAGTCACCTAGTCCTTATTTTGGAAATGCTGAACCAAGATCATCAGCTTCTATTGTAATCAGACCTCTCCGAATACCTATTCTCCTAAGCCAATTACCCCTACCTTATGCTTAGCAAGTCTCCAGTGGGTCCACAGCCCTGACCCTACTTTCATCCTGGTGGCCGTAACTGCAGTGGAGGCAAAGGAGGGGAAGGGACAGACTAGCAGTTGGATCAACTTTCAGTCATTCCAGGTAGAAGATCATCTAACCCTGTGACTGAGCCTGTACCCACAGTATTTGCTATGCTGCTGCCCAAGCAAACTCTGGGCTCTGGGGGCAGCAGGAGGGACCTGCAAGGTGGAGCTGCTGACAGGTTCAAGGGTCCATTCAGACCCACAGCCACTGCTCTAGAGATGTTTTGTATAGGTTATATGTTATAAATAAATGTTCAACCCTAAAAAAAATGTTTATTTGCATCCAATGAAGGACGTGTAGTTCTGATTTTTAAGGTGTGAAACAAGTAGCTACATTTTATTTTAGCCAGAGAAACAAATACAAGACAAATATTTCATCCTGATGGGTTTTATTTCTGTATTGTTCCACAAGGCAATATTCTCCTCTGCAAGCTCCATTTTCCACCCTTCTTTAATAGTTATTAAGTGAATTCTTTATGAGTCAGACCTGTCCTTAAACATACTTTTTTTCTACAAGGGAAAGGAGGGATGTAGATACAGCGTGATGACAAAAGCCCCCTAGTCTTTGGAATCTTTCTTCACTTTATCACTTTGCCATATGTGGATGTTTCTTATGTTTAGTGATCAGATAAAGCTCAGTGTGTTTCATTAGATCTGTTCAGGTAAAAGTATAAGTAACCTATATATGAACTCGTTGGTGTCCCTAAATCTGTCATATGTCTTTAAAATGCATGGGCTAAGATGTGTATATACATTTAATAATTCTAACACAATTGGTTTTTGCAAAAAAAAGTTGACAAAATGCTTCCCAAAATGAGACATCTTTGTGGAATATTTAAAATAATTCAAAACTAAGTATATTTTAGAAATTGAGTAGAGTCCACAGAAAGATCTTGCTTTTGCTATGGGAATAGTGCTAGATAGAGCACTGCTGTATGCCCATGTCACAGCTCTTAAAAATCTTCAGATTTTTTTCAAATAACTAAACTACAAAAAAATCACTAGATATCTATTAGAATAGTTAAAAGGACTGCCCATCCTAAGGGTTTATGATTATATAGAAAACTGGAACTCTCATACACTGCTGGCAACAAAATAAATGGTATAAACATGTTGGAAAATAGTTTGGCAGTTTTTAGAGAGTTAAATATCTACCTATTCTATAAACCAGCTATTTTACTTCTAAGGAGTTTACCCAAGAGAAATAATACTTACCTATAACAAGATTTGTAGATAGATAAATGTTCATAGCAGCTTTATTAAAAATGGTAATAACTTAAAACAGTTCCAAAGTCCATTGATAGATTAATGGATAAACAAACTCTGGTATGGACATATAATGCAATACTACTCAGCAGTAAAGAGGAATAATCTACTGATACATATTACAACATGGATGAATCTCAAAATGATTGTGCTGGGCAAAAGAAGGCAGAAAAAAAAATCACACACTGTATGATTCCATCTACATAAAAGTCTAGAGAATGCAAACTTATCTATAACTAGAGGCCTGGTGCACAAAAATTTGTGCACTCGGGGGGGTGGGGGGGGGTCCCTCAGCCCGGCCTGTGCCCTCTCGCAGTCTGGGACCCCTCGGGAGATAACGACCTGCTGGCTTAGGCCTGCTCCCAGGTGGCAGAGGGCAGGCCCAATCCCTAGGTGCAGCCCCTGGTCGGCCTCAGAGCAGGGCTGATTGGGGAGTTGGGGCGCCGCCCCCTGTCATGCACAGAGCAGGGCGGATTGGGAGGTTGTGATGCCACCCTCAGTCATGCTCAGGGTAGGGCCGATTGGGGGGTTGGGGCACCGCCGCCTGTCACATTCAAGGCAAATCTACA